GAATAATGAGATAAGAACGAATGAATCTAATGGTAACTTGCTGTACTGTGTTTTATGCATCCATTTGCCATTCATTTACTCACCCCACAAGTATTATTTGGGGACACACTAGCACAAACAAACGCAAGTACTTCCCTTCACAACCTACAATCTATTAGAAAAGATAGCTACTAATTTTTTTTTTTTTTTTTTTTTTTTTAGGTGAACCCGGGGATTGAACTCAGGCCCTTGCGCTTGCTAGGCAAGAGCTTATTCTACTGAGCTATCTCCCCTGCCCCCTCTACTAATTTTTATAAAATTCAAATAAGGGGAAAATTGATGTCAATTGTGAAAAGAAAGGAGAGAATTTAAAAAGTTCTATGCTTGAGCAGTTTGACCTAGCCTGGGAGACTTAAAAAACTCAGAAAATCAATTTATTAAGAGCCATATTCTTTTAGCAAAAAAAGCTAGATTATATTATCTATAATATTTCAGGCCTCTACAAGCCAAATAAATGTGTCAATGTTACTAGTATTTCAAAGAAGCAATTATGTAAAGTCATTCAGTGTGATATAATAGTATTCTAATTGGTTAATAGCTTAATGATTAGGTGAACTAGATGAAAAGATTAGGAGCTACTACACTGCATAGAGTACACATAAGTAACCACGCATATGCACACACAGATGAGGTTCAGTGAACCCTAAAGCCTAAATAAATAGGAACACATTTTCTGGCTAGCAGAAACTGTTGTTTATCTTTCTTGCTTTATTCTGAGGGTGTACAGTAAAAGGGATTTTTCAAATTATTTTTATATTATTTTAGCTTTAATTGTGCTGTCATTTGTGAAACAGAGTAGCTCTGCTTTTCTGTCAGAAATAGAAAGAACTTTTTCAGCATCATGTTTATGTGTGAAATTTAAAAAGAGTAAAGTTGTATTTCATTCTGTGTGAATGGCCTGAACTGGAAAAAAAAAAAAATTTACACAGAAATTTAGAAATCCAACCACATACAACATTGTAGCAAGACAGTCCTATGACTTTTTTTGTCTCTTGTTTTCATTTGTTACCTTTTTTTTAAACAAACATTTACATGGGAGAGAGTATAGCAATAATTGATTTGACATTAGAAGCAGTATGCTTTTAGAAGACCAGAAAGAGAGGAATTCTAAGCATAGCCCTAGTATTACACATTGCTATCTTCAGTGCAGTTACTGTACAGGGTTTCAGGGTAAATCCTGAGGGGATTTGACTGACCTTGTCAGATACAAAAGTTACATTTCTTGTTATATAGGTCTTGCTTTATCTTGGTCAGAAAGTATAACCACTAAGTATAAAAAGTAAAGCCATATTAATATGCTGAGCTGTAAAAGCTCAAGTCAACAACTTCTGACATTGCCAGTCCTGCAGATAACCCACTACTATTATAGACTACTGGACTATATTGGATTACTTTGCTGAATTCATGCACCTACAATATATGAATGGCAATGGAATACCCATCTCTGACGAAAGTAAACAGAAAGGGAGATATAAATGAAGGACCATTTTGCAGTGAATAAAATACATATATGTATATGCAAAATAGTTAGCATAGATATACAGCTACTTTCTCTTAGTTCAATGAGAAGAAAGTTTTGAACTAATAGTGTTTAGACAAGATACTGTGTCTGCATCTTGTACTATGAATAACTACTACAAAGACAACACTATGCAATGTATTAACTATTGTAACTGTCCTTACTAACCTGTTTTGAAACTGTTTCATTGCTATTTCTTTCTCAATAAAATTAATATTAAAAATGTGTATGTTTTAAACTCAAAACAATTTTCATGCTATCTCAAGCACATGGAGGAAGAAAGGGGAATTTACGTGCTTGCCCAAGTGGGGAGAAATAGTTATAATATGCCCCAAAATTTTCACCTCCCAGTGCATGTATCTTTCCATTATCCAGTCAAATACCTACCCAGGTGTGCTTTGAAATATTCTCCAGATAGGTTTAATGTCTCTAATCTGTTGACTTTAAATTAGGTAGGTTATTGTGGGTGAGCCTGACCTAATCAGGCAAGCCCTTGAAAGAAGTGAAAAGTCAGGGATTCAAGCTAAAAAGAATCCTTGGGCTTGTAGCAACAGCCATTGTGGATTGCCTTTGGCAAGGACCTCAAGAGGGCCTTTAGAAGCTGCGTGGCCCTCAGGTGACATCCGACAGGAAATGGGGATTTCATACCTGCAACCCATGAAACTGAATTCTACCAACTAGTGAGCTCAGATAACCCCAACTCTCAGATAAAATCACAGCCATGCTGGTGCCTTCATTCTAGCATAATGGGACCAGAATCCATTCCCAGACTACTCTGTGTGCGCGCACATGTGTCTGCAGAGGGGATATTTCTGTGGGCTGAACCTGAAGAACGATGAATTGTTTCCCTAACCCTTTTAAATTTTGTCAACTTTTGAGTCAATATCTCATTAAGTTGACTAGTGCTATGGTTTAGCTGTAGCTGTCCCTTGAAGCTTCTTGAGCTTAGATGTGGTACTTTTGGAAGGTAAATGGATTATGGGAGTGGCAGAGCTGACTGGCTGTTAGGAGGTGGAGTCTGGTAGGAAGAAGCCGGTCACTGGGGGTGTGACCTAGGTGGTTATCTTTCCTTTGGACTCCTCCCTTCTCCCTCCCTGTCTCCCTTTCCCTCTATGCTTTCCCACTGTCATGCCATAACCAGCTCTCCTCTGCTATATCCCTGTGCCATGCTTCCCTGCTTTGGAGCCCATCAACTGAAACAAGAACCAAAATAAATCTTTTCCTTTTAAGCTATAGTTGTCCAGTATTATCTCAGCAACAAGAAAGTGACTAAGACACCTAGCTAACCTCAAACTTGTCCTCCTGCTTGACTCTCATGAGTGGCTGAGATTACAGATGTGTGCTAATATGCCCAGCTCTATTCCAAGACTTTTAGTGCAAGAGAACTATATGTAATAAATTGTGTTGTTTTAAATCCCTAAATTTGTAGTTCAGGGATCTATAAATATGAAGTTTCACTTTCTGCATCTATATGAAGTTTCCATCTATATGAAGTTTCACTTTCTGCAATTTTAGTTCTCTGTAATCAATTATGATCTGAAAATGTTCTTGCAAGGAATTTTTTTCAGAAAGAATTCATAATTGTAAATAATGTATTACAAGTTGTTATCATAATTATCTTTTCAGATAGAATTTTGCCAAATTGCTCACTTACTAAGTTGCCACTGTGCCTGACTTGTTCTATTTTATTATTACTGTTTTGATCTCTTATTGTGTCTAATTTATGCTAAACTATCATAAGTTTATGAATAGAAAAGACATGTAATATTCAGTACAATCTGTGACTTTAGGCATCAGAGAGATGGACATGTCTTAGGACATGTCTTCCGAGGATAAGGGCTGTGTTCACTTTCCTTCACTATAACAAATTCCTGAGATAATCAGCTTAAGGTTTATTTTGCCCCACAGTTTTTAGCATTTCAGTCTGTGGTTGCCTGGCCCTGTTACTTATGGGCCTGTGGTAAGGCAGCGGATCATGGTGGGACTGCACGGCAGAGCAAAAGCACTCTTCTCCTGGCCAGGCAGCGAAGGCGAAGGAAGAAGCTAGAGCCCCAGTCTTGCCTTGAGGGCACAGCCCCAGGGTCATGAAAGCCTCCTACCATACATGTCATTAGTACCAGGGCCTTTGAGAAACATTACAAGTCCAAGCGACAGTGAGGGGAGACTGCTATAACTTGTCACACAGAATTAGCTGGCACAAGGAGACAAGTTTGCTTATTGCCTGTAGTCTGGGGTACTTGTCTCCACCCTGAAACTTAAGAGTCCAAACAATAGTTGAGAAATATTCTACTACTGAATAAAACAGACCTCCTGTACATCGCGTTCCATCAGTGCCGTCTTACCCAGGAACTTTATTTTTCTTCATCATTGCAAAATGAATGTGCAAATTGCCTTTAAAACACTAGCCTTTTCAGTTTTTTTAAATTATATTTCCTTTATGGGTGTAACTATATAGCCCATGAGCATTTTCTGTCCCTCTCTCAACAACAGGGCAGCTGAAAGGGTAAAATGTTCTCTGTGTTGATCTCTACTCCAAGGGTGTTACTGGCATCTTCCCTTAATCACCCTCCCTATTACCCCCTCCCCTTATTCCTCATAGTTAGGTTTTTTTTTTTTTTTGTTTCATAGAAATCTTCAATGACCTTTTAAATAGGTACATCTAATATATTTTACGTAGTCCTGCATAACTATTGTTTTGAGAGCTCTTTTATTCTTTACCCAAGACCATATAGCAACTTCTCTTGCCTTCTGAATTATGCTCTTTGTTATTTCCTATATGCTACATCTGAAGGTATTAGAGTATTTTGAGGGACCGGGGAGATGGCTCAGTAGAATAAGTGCTGCCTGGCAAGCACAAGGGCCTGAGTTCAATCCCCAGTTCCTTCAATAAATAAATAAATAAATAAATAAATAAATAAATAAATAAATAAATATTTCAAGTTTGCATAACTGGAACATATTTTACTTTTAGTTTTCAAAGGTATGTTTCCTAAGCATAAAATTCAAAAAGGACAGAATTTTTTTTCCCTTTTGGTGCATTTATTAGTCTAGTTTCTTATGCAGTTGGTCTTTTTTTTCTTTCTAATGTGGAATAAGATGTCATTTAATTTTGCTCTTCCATAGCTGATTATTTTATGTATATGCTTTAATGATTTTTTTCTTTTTTTTTCATGGTTAGGTTTGAGCAAAATTTAAGTTGTATCTTCTTGGGAAGAATCTTAGACTCTTACATAAAGCCTGGAGCTTTTGTGCAAGAGACCAACTATCTCACCTATTTTAAATAAAGTGGCTTGTCCATGTTAAGTATTTACCTGCAATAACCTATTATTTTTAATTTCTGTACAGAACCAGCTGAAAAAAAATTGTCTTTCTTAATGAAAAAGACATAACATCACAAACTGCAATGAAATATGACATTGAAGACTTTTTCCCTTCTCTTTAGAATATGAAGCTGAGCTGCCTCACTTTCCAGAAGGATATGTAACCAAACAAGAAACCCCAGTTACTGTGAGTATTGCCCAGGTCTCAACTTACTAAAAAGCTCTTAAATATGAGTAGTGTGGATGGCTGGGCTAAGGTCGGGTGATGTCAGGAGTTAGGGAGAGAAAATGGGGAAAACACTGGAGCTACCATTAGAAAGACGGGGTCACCCTAACCCCACCATTAACAGTGTTTAAACCTTGGTTTCAGCATCTACTAAATAGGAAAGGTAAACCATAAATAACTCATAGTATCTCCATGGGGCGTAGATGAGCTCTTGGGTGAGCGAGACCTTTACAATAGATCTAGTATCATACCTATATTCGGGACACTTGTAAACAGAGCAGGCTTCTATGCATGCCAGCATAGGCCAGGTGAAGAAAAAGGGTCAGGGACAGGGCAACCAGAAAGGGAGGACCTTGGAAGTATGCCTTGGGGATTAGAAGGTACTTAATGGAGTTTAAAATTTCAAAAACATAGCCAGGCATGGCAGCATACGCCTGTAATCCCAGTATTTGGGGAGGCTGAGGCAGGACAATCAGAAGTCCATCCTAATCTAGGCAACTTAGCTGTACCTCAGAATAAAAAATAAAAAGTGGACTGGGGATGTATTCAGTATAAAAGACCTGAATTCAATCCACAATATGAAAAATGATGCTGAAACAACTTGAGCAGGGTCATATTGATGGGCCCCAAATCTATGTCTCTACTTCCATTAGCTTCTGTCAGTCTCTGCCTCGACAGAGATTCTGTGTCTAAAGTTCTTTTTTTGGTTTATGAATGTTCTTTTTTCATACCATCCTGTTCTTTTTTTTTTTTTCCATAGTTGCAAGGTTTTATTAAAGGTAGAGAAAGAAACAGCTCTGCAGAGCAAATCTGGGCCAATCAAAGTAGGAAATGAAGTATACCCTACAGTGTGAGGGTGGCTACCGCGCAGGAGAGGACACAATGGCTAGTATCCAGCGTTAGGTGTACGGATACAATTTCTGTCAGAATTTTCTGTAGATACTAATTAGATTTCTCTTTCTCAAATTGTTTGTCATTATTCCAGAGTCACTTTCTCTGTTTATGTATCTTAATGTTTGTCTTTAATACTACTGATTTTCTTGACTTGTGTGTAGAGTTTTATTTGTTTAAAATTTAAAATAGGAGCCTGAGCAGATTTTTCTGTATAGCTGATATCTGAAGCTTCTCCAGAGAGACAGAACCAATAAGAGTTAAATCTATCTATCTATCTATCTATCTATCTATCTATCTATCTATCTATCTATCTATCTATCTATCTATCTAGATGACAGGGGCCCTATGAAGGGAATTGGCTCACACACAATTATGAAACCTGAGAAGTTCCACAATAGGCCATCTGCAAGCTGAAGACCCAGGATAGCCAGTAGTATAGCTTAGTCCAAGTCCAGAGGCCTCAGAAACAAGGATGCAGATGTTATAAATCTCAGACCAAGGCCACAGGCCTGAGATCTGGCCTTGCACTTGAACTGATGCAAGTCCACAGTCCAAAAGCTGTAGAACAAGGAATTCTTATGTGGGGCAGATGACATAGGGCATCTTGTCTCTGGAAGAGAGAATTTGCCTTTCACCTGCCTCTTGGTTCCCTTTAGGCCCCCAGCCAACTGGATGATGCCTGTCCACACAGAGGGAAAATCTTTCCTACTAGGTCTATAAACTCATCTGCTGATCTCTTAAAATACCCTCATGGACACACCTAAAAATGCTGACTTCTTGTTTTGTTTTTGTTTTGAGACAAGATCTTGCTACATCATATAGGCTGGCCTTAAATTCACTATATAGTCCAAGCTGGCCTGAAACTCACAGTGATCCCCCTGTTTCAGCCTCCCAAGCTCTGGGATTATAGGTGTATTCCATCATACCTTGCTAGAAATGCTATTTTACCAGCTATCTCTGCATACATTAATCCAGACAAATTAATCTTGAAGGTTAACCAACACAGCTGTACATACAGGTTTTCTGGATGGCTATCTTTTACAAATAATAAAAAAAAAACCCTAGCAATTTCTTATGGGAAGTGCTAGAAGGTTTTCTTCAGGGTGAGCAGGCAGAGTCAGAATTTGAGAGCTGTCTTAGTTACTTTTCTCATTGCTGAGACAAAGTCTCTGACAGGAAAAGTTAAAGGAGGAAAGGTTTATTTCAGCTCACAGTTTGTAGAGGTTTCAGTTCATCACTGGCTGGCTCCAAGGCAGGGTGACATGGAAGAGGAGCACCACAGAGGAGAAACAGTTCATGGCAGGCAGAAGACAACAAAAACAGCAAGCAAACAACAGCCCATGCCTTTCTGTCCCTTATCTTATATCCAGGCTATCCACCTTTAAGGCATCACACCCTTGATCCTAGCACCCTTAATCCAAGTATGATTAAGGGTGAATCAGTTAATCAGTTCCAGGGTCACACACTCTAGATCTAACCACCTCTGAAAACCCCACCTGTGACTGCATGAGGCTTTGCTTTATCTTTTTTTTTTTAATTTATTTTATTTATTTATTTATTTTTTTCTTTTTTTGGTGGAACTGGGGATTGAACTCAGGCCCTTGCACTTGCCAAGGAAGCACTTATTCCACTGAGCCATCTCCCTGGCCAAAGAACTGAGCTAGGGCTGGGCCCCCTGCATGAGGCTTTAAGGGGACATCTGGATACAAGCCATAACAGGGGCTGAGCAGAGGTCCTCCCAGTCCATGTTCAGTGTTTTGGGGTTTTCTATCTGGGCCACCAGTATGTACCCTGCGCAGTTCTGCTTCCTCTTGGCTTCATTTGTGTGACTGGGGAGGAGGGGAGCTGGATATAAAAGGCTGATGTGAAGGTAGCTTCATGAGTCCCAAGAGGCAAAGGAATGTGGGCTCCAGGCCAGTGGAGCCCAGCCAGATCCTGTAGCAACCCTGCTGTGTGTTGTTCCCTTTCTCTCTTTCCCTCTGTGATGCCTGGCAACTCTCAGCACCGAGCTCCTTCAGAATTCTGGTGGGGAAATGCACTTGTGTCCTCCCAAGCCATGTCCACCTGTGGCTACTATGTCCCCTTTCACTTACCAACACAGGCTTCATCCCTGCTTCTTGTGGATTTGTTGTCCAATCTCTCAGCCACAGATGGCCCTCCTGTTTTTTCTACTCGGGGTTTATTCTTTCACTGTCATTGGTAGGTGTCTCAGGAGGAAAAGGAGACAAAGATGTATGTTCTATGTGCCTCTTGAGCCTAAAATCTAATGTGGAATTTTATTCCCTTGTAAAGTTATAAAGGAAAATAATTATTTAAGCTGCTGATAGGTATTGACTCCACTCTTTGCCCACTGTCAGGCTTCGCTATTGGAGGAACTGGCTTCCCATGACTTCAACACAGAGCTCTATTTCCCAGCTTCCCATTCCACCACCGTCTCCAACATACCCTGCCCTCAACCTAAATCTGAAGCAGTTGATCCAAAAACATGTAAGTAAGGAAGTGGAGCTTCATCTGTTATAATTTTGGGTTTATAACATTGCAGAACCACAGGGTGGGGTGATCATACAGGCTTGAGGGAGACCACAGAAATAAGACTGCATTCCTCTAATTATTAAAAAGCCTTTTTATCACTTAATTTATCTTACTGTATTCACTAGGCTTTCAGTATAGTGTAGCTTTTATTTTTCAGAAAAGTATCCTCAGTTCCACTGATTTGTCTTTAAGATTAAAATGTAATAGAGGTAGAAACAATAACCATACTCAGACTACATGGAATACAAAGGAGGGCAGGAAAGGTATAAACAAATGCAAAAAGTGGAAGCAAATGCCATGGTGCCCTCTCTTGAGGCAGATCCTACCCCCGCCCTGGTTCCTCAGACCTTTTTGGTGCCTGGCCATTGCTCTGGGTTTGTTCTATGCCTTCTACAGTGTGCTTTGGGCCTTACCACCCACTGCTACCACCTGATGGTCCTGCTGTGCTGTCCAGGGTACTCCCCTCCCACTTCCTCTCCAGTTTCAATTCCAACTACACTTTCCCTGTAAGTCCCTCTGGCCCTCTGGCCTCCTTACCATTACTGCCTCAGAGCTGTAATGAGCTGGTGGACCTTGTGGAGCGCCTGGCCTGCCCTCACCCGACCACAGAGGAACATTTTAAGTTTCTTTATTAATGCAGTCCAGCTCAGGGATTTGGAATCAAATGTCACATTTAAGGTCATGTGATTGAATGGATGGATTCTTTTTTAGTTCAGCATCAAATACCCCTCTCAGATGAACTTGGACAGCTTGAAATCTACAGTGGGATTTCATTTTAGGTTCTCCTAGAGAATATTTGGAGACATTCATCTTCCCAGTCCTGCTTCCTGGAATGGCCAGCCTACTTCACCAAGCAAAGCAAGAAAAGTGTTTTGAGGTTGGTTGTTTGATGGGTCCATTATTTTTTAAGTTCTTAATGCTTCATTTTAATCAGATGGTGGCTCATGATCTCAGTACTATCAAATTGTTACTCTCAAAATTACTCCTTAAGGATGGAGAGCCTTGTGTTTAGATCACTTATCCAAGCCCAGCGGTGGCATCTGGATACACACACACACACACACACACACACACACACACACACACACACATCGTTATCTGCCTGGCCTCCCAGGCTCTGGAGAGGTTTTTCTTTCTGCTTGGCGTCCCTGCCTGCCCTTCTGTGTAATTTGGCATCTTCCAGGTTTCTTGGGCCCTGCATTCTTATTTATTGTACACAGTGCTTCAAGCTCACCTTACTTCTTACTTGGCTTTGTGTTGGTCTTCCCCTCTGGCCTCTGCCATTCATACCTGCTGTCCTGAAGGCCACCAGCATGGGAGCAGCGTGGCATGCACTGATAGCACAGTGAGTACTGGTCATCATCACTACACTGCTGTCCCAATTGTCTTCCAAGCCTGTATGCAGCTTCACTTACCTGCTCCCTCCCTTCAGATACTTTGGGTGCATGTGTTCCCTGCAATTTTGCTTCCTAGAATTTGGATTACACCTCCCAACATGTACACACAAAGTAAAATAATGTTTCCAATTGACACAGCAATTGTCCTGTGCCAGGCATCTGCTCACATCCAGTAGTGCAGTTCACACTCATAAGAGACCTGCGAAGTTCCTTCCATTATCTGGATTCTGCAGATGAAAACAGGGACATAAGGGCTTCAGGACAAGTGACAGGGTTAGGATTCAAATCCAGATTAAATGATTCAAAGTGACACTTAAAAAGTTGCCAGCAGGGCTGCCCATGTGGCTCAGTGACAGAGCACTTGCCTAGCATGCACAGTGTCCTGGGTTCCATCCCCAGACTTAAAAAATAAAAAAGGCAGTAATTATGATCAGAGCCCAGTTGATGTCAACATTTTGGGTCCATAAAAATTCACAGATAATGGAATCACCCACCTCGTTGCCCTTCAGCCCATGAAATATGTTCTGCCCCATAGTACTTCTCTATACTGAGAAGATGGTTTTCATGTGTTCAAGTAAATACTCAGTTTTTCTCAAGCAATGCCTTGAACTACTCTCCCCCAAGGTTCTACTACCTCTCAGTAGCACAACCCTGGAGATGAAGCCTTTAGTTCATGGGCCTTCAGGGGACATTCAGCATCCAAACTATAGCAAACATTTATGTAGCTGGAATGGAGAGCAAAGCCTTGGGCCACAACACCCTTTGACAATGACAGATACACTCCTGAAACAAAGAGCTCTCAGTTTGGCTCTCAAGGCCCTCTTCAGTCTTCCCCTCCCTCCTTCCCTTCTTTTTTTATTCCCATCTACAACTCTCCTTTTCAGAGAGTACCCTTCAGCCCCAAAGAACTGTTTTAAGTTCGTTATACCATCCCCTACTTCATGGTCTCTGTGCATATGTTTTCTCCTTCTTTAGGAAAAAATCCCCCCTCCTTTTCTTTGCATATTTAAATTCTGCTTGCTTTTCCAAACTCAACTGCGTGACACCTCTCTCAGGCCTCCAATTCTATGTTAGGTCCAAACTCAAAGTAATTGATCCCAGCTCTCAGATTTCAGAGTATTCATCTGTTCTGAATTTTATGGAAGTTAAGACAGCCTTAATTAAGATATTCTTAACCACATATATTTAATTTTATACATGCCTGTCTCCCCAAGTGTTTTAAGTGCCTTGAGGACATATTCTCTGTCTGATTTATTTTTGTACATCTTCTCAACGCTCAGCTACTCTATCCACTGCCTGCCACATGGTGAATATACAGTTGGTCGTCAATAAATGTTAAATAAGCAAGCACATAATCAGACCCAGCAAAGCACCACTGTTATTATGTCCTTGACCAAAACCTAGCTCTTATCTGTGGGAAGACTACTGTAATAGGCCCATCCTTGGCAGGGCAGCCTGGAGGGGGAAGGGAGGAGGAGAAGGAGGACATCCATCTACATCACAAATTTAATTGATGGGAAAGAATAGTGAATGGCAAAAGTCACAGCCTAATCATCTTCATATATTAATTATGCAATCAATTAGTAACTGGGGCCTTGCTTAAAAGGAAGGCCCTAGAGTCAAAGTTGGTTCATGTTGAAGGCCTCTTCCATACCAGCTGGCTTCTTAGCCCAGGGCAAGTTATTTCAGCTCTTAAATCACTGTTGTTTCCATATATGTAAAATAAAGATGAAGATAGTGGTGCTCATGGGATTACTAGGCACATGCAAAATGCTTCAGCCAGACCCTGGCACATAAAGAGATCTCTCTAAATGTTAATGTGTTGTGTACCATTACAGTTCCAATACTACAGCAGCTTCCCAGGCAGGGCTGGTTGCACCTGTGGCCTGAGTGGCTTCACTCATGTTGTTTGGCAACTTGGACTCCTGATTCAGCCAGCTCTCATACATTCTACAGTGATTTCACAGCAGAATTTTACTTTATTGATAGTTTCACAGGGTGGTAGGGAAGACGGTTTTGTTTGCATGTATCAAGCAGTACTTCCTCCCTCTCAATCCTTATTGGAAGTGTTTTTCTCCTCTGCAGTCAGTCACCCACTCCCCATGCAGCCTTTATAGATCCTTTCTGGTCTTGAACAACTTCATCCAGCTTGCCCACTCAGCAAAGCCAAAGCCCAGCATCTAGCTTGTGGCTCCTTCCTTAAAATGTAGTTAAGCCTAGTGCAGTGGTGCATACCTGTGATTCCAGGTGCTCAGGAGGCTGGGGCATGAGGATCATGGATTTGAGGCCAGCCTGGGCAATTTAAGGAGTTAATGAGACCCTGTTTCAAAACTTTAAAAAATAGCAGGAGATTTTTCTGAGTGAAAGAATATCCTAGGGTTTGATCCCTGGTTCTGCTACATTAAAAAAAAAAAAAAAAAAAAAAAAAAAAAAAAAAAAAAAAAAAAAAAGTTCAGCCATCATCTATGGCTCTTGGGAATTGGGTTGAGGCAGAGACCCTCCCATCTCTAGACCAATAAAGACATAGCTATAAGTCATTCTTCATATTGCTCTGTAAGAAAAGCTTAATTTTATATGCTGAGCTGTGAAAGGCTCAAGTCAACAACTTCTGTGGATAACCCACTACTATTGTGGACTGCTGGACTGTGTTGGATTGTTTTGCTGAATTTCACGCACCTATAGTATTTAGATGCCATTGGAATACCCATTTCTGACAGGACTAAACAAAAAAAAGGGATACAAAGGAAGAACTATTTTATATCTCTATATGCAGAATAGTTAGGATAGATATACAGCTACTTTCACTTAATTCAATGAGAAGAAAAATTTGTACTAATAACGTTTGGACAGGATATCCTGTCTGCATCTTGTACTATGGATAACCACTAAGAAGATAACAATGTACAATGTATTAATTATTGAAACTGTCCTATTAATCAGTTTTGAAACTGTCTTATTGCTACTTCCTTCTCAATAAAATTTTAAAAAAGCTTAATTTTGACATACAGGCCTAGTCAGTTCAAATCTAGGGAACCTCCATTCCTTCTTTCTCCTGATTTGCTGTTACAGACCTAGCTTCCTTGTTTTAGCCTGGAAAACATAACAATCAAATCGCAGGTTTTCCTGTAACATGAGAAGGCACACTGCTGAATCAGACTATTCCATAGACAAAGAGGTAGTACAATAAATGGCAGTGACTCCAGTACTGACCATCACACCCAGGTAACAGTTCTTTGTGGTGTACTGCTATGATGATTGCCAGAAATAATATCAGATTCAGAGAAGTTGTCTCACTGATGAGTTGCCCACTGTAAGTTGACCCTGCTCAAAGTACTCTCCAGGCATCTTCTTGTTTCACCTTCACAATAACTTTCTAAGTGGAATCCTCTTCTGCATCGACTCCCTGCTACTGAGGAGGGTCCTAGAACTCAGAGAGGCTGATTATAACATACCATCACCCAGCTGGAGAGTGATGTAAGACTTCGTCTGAATATCCTCGGAGCTTGGCTTTCCTCCCTCTCCATAAATAGGAGTTGGGTCCCCTAAATAGTTCCTAGAAGTATTGATTTTTCTTTTTCTTTTCTAGAGAACAGATTGCTGCTTGCTTTTGGTTATAAAATCTAAACTGTTTCTAATTCTTGTCAACTGTTCTTTTTCTCCCCTAACTCCTTCTGACCACTTAATTCATGTCCATTCCTCATAACCAACTTTCCCTTCTACTAGGTGGTTTTTTTTTAGTTATGTTTTATTAACTTAATACAGATCTATAATAAAGTTTTTTTTCTTCCCATAATTTTATTGATAAACAAATAGCACTGAAACAGTTTCAAATCAAATTGGTAGGACAGTTTCAATAATTAATGCATTGCATACATGCTTCCTAGTGGTTAATTGCTGTACAAGATGGGGACATGATATCCTATTTACAAACACCATTAGAACAAATCCCTCTATTCATTAAGAGAATGTAACTATATATCTATCCTAACCACTTTGAATACACAGATACAAAATGGACATTCATCTGTATACCCTTTTTTTGTTAAGTTATTTGAATTTAACAGGGGTTATTTGAATATTATAGGGGTGTAAACTCAGCAAAATATTCTAAGAGTCCAGTAGTCCATAATAGTATTGGGTCTTCCACTTGACTGGCAATGTCAGAAATTGTTGACCTGAGTTCCCTACAGCTCAACATAACAGCATGACTTTACTTCTTATATTTCATTTTTATACTTTTCTGCTGGATGGTTAAGACCAAGGTAAAGCAGGACCTATGTAACAAGATTTGTAGCTTTTGGGTCTGATAAGGTCAGTGAAATCCCCTCAGGATTTATCCTGAGATCGTGTACCTCAGATTGTAGAACCTCTGTCAGTGTCACCCATGCGGATGAGTCTCTACTAGGTGTTGAACAGATGTGAGATGGGAGAGAAGATGGAGGGGTGGAGGAGCAGAACTCTTAGCTTGACCCTGCAGTGG